TGTTTCTATAACATCTGTAACTTATGAATTTATAGAACAGTAGTTTCTAAAGTAAATATGTGTTTCCAAACACAATGCTGAAATAGAAATCGATTTTATATGAAACATTGCTGATAAATTTGAAGGTACTGGTTCGGCTGGAAACTAAAGGTATGTTATTGCTTCAGCTTAAAAATAAAGGTTTATACTCAAAGTAATAAATTTAAAGGTAAAGGCTCAATATTGCTGAAAATAAAGGTATCTGAATTTAAAGGTGTAGGCTCAATACTGCTGAAAATAAAGGTATATGCTCAGTTTAACTGAATTTAAAGATATTCAAAATTAAAGCGGATATACATATATATCTCTGGTACAACTGATTTCGACGTAGAGTTAAAACTTTACCTGCAGGGATAAAAATATTATAATAAACAGCCTCCTTAAAAGAGAGTTTAAAACAAAACATTTAAGTAATAATACATAATCAACGCTAATAAATGTTTACACATTTTAAATTGAGAAAATTTATTTGGAATAAATGTTAATTTAAGCTGAAAATAGCTGAAAATGGGAAAAATACATATTAAATTGATTATGTTGATACCCGTGATATTCTCCCATGCTGTACATGTAAAAAACTGTCACCTACCTCCAAGGTCAAGGTCACACTTGGAGGTCAAATACTTACATAGTCTGTTACAGGGTATATTTTGTGTCCGGTCCATAATTTTTTCATAGATCAAAGGATTTTAAAAATACATCGCACAAATAGTCACGATAATAAGAGGATGTGTCATGCGCAAAACCTGCATCCCTACCTCCAAAGTCAAGGTCACACTTAGAGGTCAAAAATTAACATAGTCTGTTATAGGGTATATTTTTGTGTTGGATCTAGAACTTCTTCATAGTTCAAGGGATTTTGAAATAACTCAGCACAAATAGTCACAATAATAAGACGATACGTCAAGTACAACATCTGCACCCCTACCTCCAAGGTCAAGGTCACCTTTAGAGGTCAAAGGTTAACAGAGTCTGTTTTTTGGTATATTTTGTGTCCCGTCCATTACTTCTTCATAGACTAAGGGATTTTGAAAATACTTGGCACAAATAATCACAATGATTAGATGATATGTCATGCGTAACATCTGTGTCCTTACCTCCAAGGTCAAGGTCACACTTAGAGGTCAAATATTTACATAATCTGTTATAGGGTATATTTGGTGTCCAATCTATAACTTCTTCATAGTTCAAGGGATTTTGAAAATACTTGGTACAAATAGTCTCAATAATAAGATGTTATGTCATGCACAACACCTGCTCCCCTACCTCAAAGGTCAAGGTCAGACTTAGAGGTCAAAACTTAACTTGATAGATTTTTAAATTCCGTGTTTCATTTTATTTTCATAACAAATTTATTGTTGCATTTGCAGATCTAGCATTGGTCATAATTTTGGACTGACTGTCCTGAGATCCATACCTCAATCTTTTGAAATAGCACAATTTTTTGCTTCATATAAAACTCCCCGAGGTGGGGGACGTTGGCAACTCTGTTACAAATTCTTGTTAATATTTAAAGCCGAAACAATTATATATATACTTTCAACTTTGCAAAATGATAACACTTATCACATTATGTTTTATTCATTCATTTAAAACAATAACTTCTTGTCAAACATGTAGCTACGTTAGAATCGAAATAATATATCCAAACCGGTGATTTTAGCGCTTGATAAAATCACTGTTTGTCGTTCTACGTCCTCGTGATAAAATTCTTCGCATCCGAACTCCAATGAGCGATAGAATCACAGTTTTGAATATATATTATTTCTTAAATCAAAAACATTTAAATTGATGCAATGCAAAGAAGTATTTTCTTAACATAATTTGTGGCTGAGTTCATATTTAATCTAATTTGAAAACAGACCTAAAGAATTCTTACATCGAGAATTATATAATATATGTTATTTATATGCAAAATGTTATTTATAATGTCATTGCAAACAATTCATTTGAAATAATCAAGTACGTTTTCCATTACTGCAAATTTAACATCACTAGTAATACTATTTCAATAAATTTTGATAAAAAATACCTTCTGAAAAGGAAAAGAATACTCCAGAAAAAAGTAATCTTAAATTCAAGTCAATGGTTGAATTAAAAAAAGTATCTTAACTGTCTATTGTGCATATATACATGTTCTGAAAGAAAGGTGCGTTAATGTAAACACGATGAGAGTTATGTTAAGATTATTGATTGAATTTTAAATAAAGTATAATTCCAACATGCTTATATGAAATAAACATGGTAATTTATTGCATTAAAAGCGAATGGCGCATGCACAGATTCATTGATAAATGGACCATTCCGAATATTTTATTCTGATTACGTACATAATTCACGTGTAACAGAGACATTCTATGTTACAACTTTTGCGGGAATCAACCATATAATAATGGAGCCAATATAAATTAACTGTTGATAAGTTTTATTAAAATATTTCATAAGATATATGCTTATTCCATTTAACAAATATATCTTGATCTACATTATTACCACGACACGCAACAACTTTATCGCCCATTTTATCAGGAAGTAACCATTACTCCACGTTTTATAATACTTCAAGTAAATGCCATATTTATAAATTGTTTAATTTAAGCGAATTTAAGTTAAGTAACATAAAATACAACATCAATGTTGTAACAATTCATGATATATTTTAGAACCAGGAACAACAAGATGCCAATTGAAACCAGGCCCCGTGTTCACAAAGATTTAAGGATCAGGATCAAGATCAGGATCAAATTTAAAAACTCTATTATTCTTCATTGTTTATCGTCATAGATTAAATATCTAATATTAATTTGATAGAACTGGACTTGCAATAGCAAGTTCATGAAATTTTAGAATAAATTTATTGTTATTTTTACAAGATACGGGCATTTTACAGCTGATCCAAATTTTGATCCTGATCCTAAAATTGATCCTTATTTTGATCCAAAAAATTTTGTATTTGTTTTGTTATTTGTTGATTTTATCCAAAAATAGTTTGGTTTCTTTGCAAATCGGCAATTTTTTACATTTTGTATACCTATCATTTAATTTTAAGCAAAACACGATTAATTTTAATACTATAAAACAATGAAAATAAAATCAGGATCACTTGATCCTGATCCTGATCTTTTCTTAGTGAACACGGGGCCAGGAGCTTAAATGCAGTAGACAGACTACAATTTTAGACTGTGTACTTTAAGCGTAATAATAACTGTTTAACTGTATATTTGAATTCCAACATTTCTTGCCAAAAAGATTTCTTTTCTAAAAGCTGAATTTCACACAGACTAAATTTAATTAAATTTATCAAGCTCAAAATGTGTTACATGTACCTTATCAGATATCACATAAAACGTAACACAGCCACTTGTTGATTTTATAGGCATAGATGGTTAATCATTTCAAGAGGAATTGTGTTTCATTAGATACTTAAATGTATTCCTTTCGGAAAGTTTTGCTGAAATTTAATCTTAAGCTCGTATGTTTTAAGATTTGAAAGTTATCAAACGTATTAGAATAGATGTGATTTTGTAAGATGTATATAAACTGTCAGAAAATCTTATTTGCAAAGTGATTGTTGCTTTTAGATGAGATTTGCTCGTTTTACTATAAAGAAACATAAAGTTGGATTACTTCAACGAAAGTTTATTTATTCGTAATATGGCCTGAACAAAATTCACTTCAAACATTAACTTTGTGTTTAGTTTTGTGATATGTAAGTACAGTGAATTGTTTCAAATCAGTTTTAACACATTTTAGTATATGATCTAAATATAGCTGCAATACCATTGGTCCAAACTGATGTCAACGGAATTTTTAATAAAATCATATTCACTGGGTGTAGAATCATATTCACTGGCTGCATTTGATTTTCCATGTCTAAAAATAGGTTCAGGACAATATATTGTAGACTGTTAATTTCGCATGCTTATTAAAAATAATTGTTGCGTTTTGTTCTGTCCGGCACATTTCCCGATTTAAATAACATTACGTTTAAAGCTTACACTGTAGTAATGAGTATAAACTTGAATAACTTTTATATGCGCAGCGTTCTTGTATTTGTTGCACGTCTGACAGTGCGTGTGTTTTCCGCGCTTCAACGCAAGAGGCAAAAGTGTACATGCACTTTCTAGGTTTTTTAGAATTCTTATAGCCTATTCATATAATAAAACAATTATTGACTAGTGAGCCATTGGATATGATGTGATATTCTCTGCCAGAAAGTCATATTTCATTTGCAGGTAAATATCACATCATATTCAATGGCACACAATCAATCATTGCATAGAATACATTTGGTCTTTAACTTAAACATTCTGTTCACCCTACAAATTCAAAACAGAAAAACAACTTATGTTATTTGTTTACACATACAGCATTGTATTTATATTTTACGAGTTATTCCTTTTTTTTTGGATATTATTTGCCGTTCCGCAAGTTACATAAGTGTGGCCGTGCGATGTTAATACCTCTTCTGTTTGTTTGTTTTCTTTTAAGAATGAAACCATTCAGTTATTATTATAAATATATTCAAATTATCGTATTATATGAATTATGATTAAGATATAGAAGGCGATTGTTTTTTTAACATCGCAATACATGTCATTTAATGAGGAGAAAGAGTAGTAATCATGTAAAATTAATAATAATATCTTTTTTTTCTTTATCAAAGGCAAAAATGTTTACAAATAATAGTATTCATATGTATCATGACGTAACATTTAGTTTATTTTATAAGACATAAAAGTTTCATTTTGGATTAATTGCTTTCCGTCGTCCCCTTTAATTGTCTTCTCTTTTGAATTGTCCAAAAACGATGTTCTATAAATATAATGTGTATTATTCACGTTGGTTGTTTCGGAAATAAAGCTATACAAAAGCTTATCTCTTAAACGATTTTGGTTCATTACACTTCTTGATGAGAATGTAGCTTAAAATCAACAAATGCAATAATTATGAGATTGGACGCGTAACATATTTGCAGGTTATTGTATGTATAACTATTTATTTAAAGTAGGTGAGTAATACAAGCATTATTAACTCACGAGACTGTGAACGGAGACTTAAATATGAATATGAATTACATATCTTACAGTTATCTTATTTCATGTTAAATATTTTGAAGCCCAGACGACCACAGTATCAGTTACAGTATTTGAAAGTGATGACGTTACACTCGCCTGTACTTTGACAGGAAGTTTCACTTTACCAGAATGGAGAGGTCCACCACAGTTAATGAAATATACAAACAAGGATGACACCTCTGAAACAATAAGTCATCAGGCGCCCGCTGCAGGCAGATTGCAATATGCAAGTAATAAGAAAGATTTGGTTCTATATCATGCAGAAAGAAATGATTCCGGCGACTACAGTTGTTCGTATAAAGCATTAGGAGTACATACAGTTATATTAACCGTAACTGGTAATTGTGTATAATTATATAAAATAGTATATAAATGGGCACTTATATGACGAGATAAGCAAAAAACAGACTGAAGAAGTGGTCTTAAATCGGTATCTAATTGAGAGTCAAAAGAGAAAAAAATGATAATCCATTTTTCCATTTCCTTTGTCCATTTTGTTATTTTCCTCTTTACTTATCAACAAACAAATCAAGACAATTAACCCGACAAAATGACAGCGTGTTCGCCTGATTGGATGGAATGATAACTCGGAGCGACTCTCTAGTTGTTTGTCCCGTTAGAAGTCTTTTTGTATACTTTTGCAAGAATATCGTAATTGTTAGGCATTGTTAAAGAATCATGGTTGATTGTTCTACATAATGTATAACATTTGTTATAACCTCGGCTACTTTTTGGTTCGATTATGATATTGTCCAATAATTTCATCCTAAATAAACATCTCATTCATAAACAAGCTGAAGTTATTTCATACATACAAGAATTATAAATGGGGCACTTATGCATGCATAATACGACGTAAGTTTTTATTGTTGACTTGATAAAGAAACGTTGTTTTTCTTTTTTTCATTTATTTCTATATCTTCGCAACAGTAGGGTGCAAAAGTCGAACAGCGTTATACGAAAATCGGCACCGGAAGTTGTTTCCGCTTGAAAAAATAACACTAGTGATCTTCCTTATTTTATCGTGTTAGAATCGAAATAACTTTGGCCTTCGGTATCGAAACACCGGTTTGGAGTTTTGATGCGTAGGAATTGACCACGACGGCCGTAGGCCTGAGCGGTCAATTTTTTCGCATCAAAACGACAAACCCGGTGATAAATAGCTGATATACACCTCTCAGGCCGATGTTATTTCTTAATCAACAACTAACGCATAAAAACGTAATCAATTGTATTTTCACAAACCTATTTTCTCAAAAGATGTTGTTTAAAAAAATATTAATGAACTGCTGTTGGCCAATTTAATTTTGTGAATGCTTACTAATGAACACTTACCATACGTCATATCTCAATATTTTACAAGCCGCAGTCCGATGCAGCAGCAATCGCAACTTTGACTGTGTGAGCTCGCGCATTGTCGTGCGAGAGCAGAACGCCTTTAGTCATATATTTTCTTTTACCCTATTCTAAACGTTAAAGTTTCTCCCCGGAACGTATTGACGTTTTGCTTGAATTTAATATTTTCCATTTGTAACTTTTCTTTTGACTCCAACTAAAACAATTTCAACATGGCACCATGGTAAGAGATAAACCTTTTTACCTTCGAACTCATCAAACAAATATTTGAATTTCATTCTATAGTTCTTATATTTACACACCTTGTGTAAGCCCTCGTATCATAAGGCTAAATGCATAAACATATAAACCATAGGCTTGTTTATGTGATTTTTAAAATTCTTTTGGGAATTAACAATTTTGTGTGAAGTACAGGATGATGTTTAATATATGTTTATCAAGCAATATAAAGAGTAGTTTCATCAAACTTGATATCAATACTAAATCAATCATTATTTCACATCTTAAAGGCTATATCTGAAAACGTAACCAAGTTTCCAAGATTTGCATATTTCAAATGCATAAGTTCATTAAGTCAAACACTATATATTTTCGTATGACTCATCTATCGTAAACTTTAAAGGTTCACTTAAGAATTACAAAACAAAACGAAAATTATAATTTAGAATCATTTTTTTTGCTTCTGACATTTTCTTGTTACTATTTTTAAAGCCGGTGGTCCGAGGGTAACATGCTCGTTTAGAATGTTACAATGTAGGATGTTATAAAGGAAACAAAATCAACATGCTTATAATTCTCCTTCTATTTGAAGAAAATATTGTTGTATTATTGTCTGAGCTACAAGAAATTATAATGTAATTTTTATGCAAGATTTGCTTATAATGTAATATGTATCCTGGATTTTTGTCCCTGATGTATCGAAAAGTCAGAAATTACATGATTCAATATAACCAGTATAACTTGGGCCGAGTATTGTTTTAAAGTTACTTTTAGTTTTCTCTTGCTTGGATTCCTGTCATACAGAAATATAGATATATCCATTGAATGTATTTACACGTATATAAACATGTACGGTCTGTATCAAATACCATTTCATACTCTTATTTTTGTTTTCTTCTTATTAAATTTAAATATTTCAAAATTCAATGTGACGAAAACAGGAAATATTCTTAATTATCTACATTTTGAAACACAGAAACTGAATGATGCGTTTAAATATCATTTGTGATTATTTTTGACAGATACAACAACTCCAGCTAAAACAATTTCAACATGGGACCATGGTAAGAGATAAACCTTTTACCTATGAACTAAATGAACAAATATTTGCATTTCCTTCTATTGTTGTTATCTTTTCATGTTTTATTGTACAAGGAATCGCACATATACACGTTTGCATAAGCCTTCGTATAATTAGGCTAAATGCATATAAATACTAACCAAATGCTTGTTTTAGTATATGTATAATTCCTTTTCTTAGACATACATTGTAGAAAAAAACTTATATTTAACAACAGATTTTAGGTTTTATCAGAGTTATTGGATGCCAGCTAAAGCTGTTATAAAACAACTTTATTATCGTTTTTTAATATAATAGTGAGTTAGATTTTATCAATACCCACTACCTAATAACATAACATTTGTTTGTCTAAATTTTGAATATTTCCAATTAATGTGGTTACTTTAAGTAAGGACATTTTATATATGGAATAGATCAGATTATCAATACTAACACTAATCAAATTGAAACCTGTATTAATTCATTAATAAAACATCGGCATTCAGATTTATCAACCCCAATAAAAATGTTTAAAACATCGATCAACTAATATTTTTGTTTCGTTATTTCAATAAGAATATCTCCTCATGAGATGGTTTTTCTCCAAAACATAATTTATGAAGTTTGAACTTTATGATGACAAATTAAAAAAATGCCGGCTTCCCCTGTCACAAAATGACAAAATTATCCTTGATATAAATACTTCAGATATAAACATCTGACTAGTCATGTGATAGTAAATAGTTGTTGTTCCCTGGTCATTTAATTCTAGCTCTCACTTTTGTACAAACATAAATGCATCGCACTTACATGTACAGTATTGTATATACAATGTATATGTTCTGTACTTATCTGGGCATTTCAGCACATTTTTGTCAATTTATTCCTTATCAGGGAATGCCCCTAAATAACCCGATGATATTTCTGATTAAATCATTTTTGTACAAGTTATTATATCTTGCATATCTTGTCATAATTTTTATGTAAGATTTCTTGTCAATAAGATATTGAAGTGAATGTTGGTAGATCTTTTGTTGGAAATAATTTAATGCATTTTTGTAATGAATGTTTCTTAACATTTATTCAAAAATATTCTTTTACAGGACCATTTACAACACACTTCCCCGGTAAGTCTTATATCTTCTTTGTTGCATTATTAACTCTTGCATTCTATACGATGCTTCACATGTTTTGCAAACTACCGAAGAGTTACCGGTTATGTTATTATACAAGAGATATACAATCTAAATATCTGCGAAAGGGCTTACATCATATTGCCAATAAAATCATAATTAAAGGTTCCTCTACTACGGTTTTACTTGGTTTTTAAGGATAACATTTATCTTAATGCGTTATCGACATATATTCTCTCAAGCAATATTTTTAAGAATTGCCAAATGAAACACTTCCATAGGTTTTATCTCTATATAAAACAACTTAAGGGAAATGTGCCCATTGAAGACAAATTTACTTTAGATATGAATATAATTTTGTTAATCTATTTTCTTAACATCGTTAACATCTTTTCGCATCTTCAAAAAACAACAGCATTTCAAAAGATAACAAAATATGTTCGACGACACTATTATACAAAATATGCATTTTCCTACATTTGTACTAGCACCATATCTGGATGCAAAATCTAAATTTGATTTATTGTAAAAATTGAAAAAATAATCAAACTCTATTCTTTGCCATTTCTATTTGCTTTTTGTAGGTTGCTATATGTTATGGCCTTCTAACCTGTAAATCCTTATTTGCATGTCTTTACACTGAATTATTTTAATATGAGTTTGTTTTTTCCCCTACTTATTCAATCGATTACGTATACGCCCACTTGCATTTGCAACGCTAAATTATTCATATGTATCATACAAAGCTATAACAGTCGCGGCGTTTGTAAAAGGGTAGGGAATTATAAAAAATATACATCATAAAGAGACAAATACAAATAATTGCATACCATTAGAAAAAAAAATGCTTTACAAATATCTCAATATAATTTCAGGAAATTATGCGTGATCTGACAAAGCAATTTCATTTAAGAACATAATATTAACCAAAATGTGTTTCAAATATTTAACGCTTATATAATGCTTATCACTGCTCAGTTTATCTTCATAAGTTTTTACGAGTGATTCCCAGACACCATTTTATATTATCCATAACGGATTTATGGACTTATTGATAATAGATTTTAATATGCAACTTAATCAAGTACTATGCTGCAGCTGTAAACAGTTGCTCCGTTCATCACTTCAGTTCCATTATATTTCCTGGTCCTTCGCGTTGTTTCCAGCACGTTACTATTGAGGATTATTAGTTGGGGCGTTGTACTTTACCTTATCTTTAATGAACAAACACAATGAAATCGGGTCTGCAATTTTCATATCATATTCATTGCTGCCGAGGGATCATGCATTTTTCAGTTTTTAAGACGAACACTATCTTTACTTTAAGTATTTTTTATTTTTATGCAGGTACTCTGCAACAAATTCATATCAAGGACAACAAGGTACCTGTTAAAGGGGGAGAAGTACAAATTGTTTGTGACATTGTGCACTTTAGCGATGCTGATACTGTCATGGTGTATAAGACTGACTCCACCCTCACTGCAGATATAACTACTGCCCAATCCATAGCCAGTTGTAATCCAACAAGGTGTTTTGGAACAGAACCAAGACATACATTCAGCTCAAGCTACAGCGGTGTTATAATAACAATCACTAATCTTTATAGCTCAGACGACCAGAAATATTGGACTTGTGTCATGAATAACCAGCAAATATCCATGCAGCTAACCGTGTATTGTATGTTATATTTTTTCATAACAGTTTTGTCAAGAACAACCAACAAATGTACATGTTAATCGTATACTTTATTTTATAAATTTTCAATACAGTTTTATCATAGGTTAACATGTCAAAATTTAGCTGTTACTCTTTGAATAACTCTTATGACAAAAAAGACAATAAATACATAGATGGCTAAGTTTGACATATATTTAAGCTATGCACTATACAAACAAATATAAGTCAGGAGGCAATGGATTAAGGAAAAATTCAAAAATCCCATGCCAACATTTTTGGATAATCAATGTTGTTCCATAACCAAATACTGTCATTATTGATTGTATTTTCGTCAGGTACAAGAGATGACAGATACCATTTATCAATTTTTAAACATAATAAGTTGTCGATCCCAAAGTATTAAAAAGTGACATAAATCAATATGTAGGAAGGTCGTGTCGGAGGAATTTAATTGTTAGAATATTTGAGAAACATGAAATATTCAGGACTTTGGGCATATAATTTTCACAAACATTCTTTAAATACGAATGCATCTGGTGCGTAGTATGGCCCAGCTATTTTTTAGGACGGAATGAATGACATCATAACCTGCGACCTTTTTTTATTTTTATATAATTAATATGCACACCTTTTGGACAAACGGCGTAAGTGATATTGACTTTGTTAACATTTGACATTTTGCTAGTTTGGTCTTTCCTATTGTACCTTCTTTAACATATATTACATTATGAATTTACTAAGAATGAACCGTATAGGTACATTATGGTCAGACTGAAGATTGAGCTTGTACAATATAGAGATGTTTCTCTTATAATGTTGAAAACCTGTTTGGTAATGTCTTTGAATATATTCAAATACATTTAAACAAACATATTGGTACAACTGAACAACATTGCTGCATCTAAACATAATAAAAGCATACATCATAAAGCACAATCCTATTTTGTAAGCAAGTATCTCATAAGTTAAATGACCGAATACTACAATTACTATAGATTACTCTGCGTTACCTTCGTTGAAGAAAATTTCATCAGCACTTAACACCGCCCGTCTTAAACAAAGCAAGCTGAAATGTTCTTTACACCTTATACTTTCTTTTTAAAAGATTCCAGATCTGACATATACACAAGTACAACAGAGACAAGTTATACGATGTCAATAGTTCTCGGGGCTGTATGTTTTGTTGTGCTTATTTATGCAATAGGCTTAACCATTTTGTATAAAAGGAAAACCAAAAAAGAAGGTAAATATTCCATTCAATTTTGATTATGTTTTTATGTTCAATGTGACGAATACTTTGACTAATCGTTTCTTATTAACCATCTTATTTGTACAAGTAAGGTTCAGCTTTACAAAACTTAAAAAAAACACTTCCCATTTCAGGCTCTGCATCAAATTCTGCAAATGGAACTTACGCGTAAGTTTACTCTTTTCAATAAGTATCTTTGACTTACAATTGCCATTTATATATTCATTTGTTTTTAAATTTTCCTGAAATGTCCATTGTCGTGCTGTGTATTGGCATTTAAATTACATTTTTAAGGAATGTATTTAAGCAATCCCCGAAAGACAGTCAATGTTAATGAGATTGGGTTCAGGTTCGAATATTTCTTTGTCTTTATGAAACAACAATATTTCTAGATACAAGCAAAACGGGAAACAACTAATTGGCTTTGATGTTTTAACATCAAGATATTAACATCATAGAATTAAAAGATACATTGTGTATTATCTGTATAATATTTGTTTTAACAGGAATGAAAACTTGGGAAATATTTCCGATGCAACAGTAGGACAACATTATGAAAATGAAGCTACAGTTTTACCTTCACCACAATATACTGAATTGGCACATTATACTAACGAAAGGACAACATATGAACGCTTACAAAATTGAATTAAGAACTGCTTTAGATTTTATAGTCTTTTCTAGAATGTGAAACAGGTTCATTGTGTTTATTTCAGAAGTAGTCTGTTGGGTGTTCAGTTTCATATGATTCTGAATAAGACACATTATGTACTGCGGAATGACACGATTTATTTTGCGAGTTGTCAAAAAAAATACAATTACATAAAATATTCACATACATCAGCTTTACCTTTCGAGACATATTTTAAATTTCTTGCTTTGTTACAAAATATTTCCTATTTCCATTTTCTTCAACTGGAAGACGTTGTTCTCCGTCTACAAATAATGGACTGTACAAATATTATAAGCGTAGTTTACCGGTACTTGATATCATGGAATCAGGAACGAATTGAATCATGCGTAAACGCGTTGTCTCAATCTTATTGTGAACTGTTTTGCATTGGACAAAAACATAAGTATAGATTGTATTGCATTGTCATAAAACATCTGAATGGTTCAATCAATTGGTTTGTTTATCTTTAAAAACTAGAAAAAGAAATTCAAAAATGTAGATATATAAATCTTTGAAACTGATACGATGTCTGAGATATTGATGCCCGTATTTTGTTTTGCTTTCGAAACTTTAATAGCCGACTTTTATAAAGCAAAGCGTGGTCACATGTGTGCTTTTTTATTTTGGTTTGTTTTTGTAACGGGTCTGATGCCTTTTAAGTCTTTTCTTATACTTTAATTTTCAAATCTTAGGCTGAATTGATGATCGTTTGCTTATTCAAAGTTAAACCATTGTTTATTCGGGAAATTATTAATTAATGTCCAAGGCATTAGGATGATCCATTACGAATTCTTCAGCAATTTTTATATGTAAATAAGACACTTGGTGTCGGAGTCCTGGCGGACATATCTATTAACTTTTCCAACAGCATTAACTAAAACGTGCACATTTTACCACAGTATAAAACGAGTACATGCAAAAGTACGCAATTAGAAATCTATGTCATAATGATTTTTCATTAATTTCAATTTTCAAAACTTTGTAAATTTAGACAGACATTCCTCAAGGTAGCATTGTATTCGGTTCTTCTCAAGATATGCACAAATGACCATTGCTTGGCAGCTACTTTACGCGAACGTAAAATAACGCTGAAAGTTTATGTTGACGGGATTTTATTTATCATTGTGCGTTATGCGTGTCAATACATGCATTTTATATGCTATCCTTCTTGTTTTAGCCTGTGTTTCGTTGTTTTTTGTCAATGTTCATTTTGCACTGATCAAGTGAGGTGTAAACTTTTGTTTAAATTTTGCATTATTTAAGAAAATAAAATCGTTTGTTGTACAAAACAAGGTAATCCAAGCTACGTTTGTTTGCTATATTTTTTGATCGTTTTCCTACAGTTTAAATGCAAACGCCATTCGCGCTATCTTCCAACTCGCGTGTCAATCCATTTATGAATACAAGATACATGAATAGTAAACTGATTCCTCCCTGTCAATTACCTTGCAGTATTTATGAAGAGTAATAATTTTACCGCTTTTTAACGAATCTGGTATTACACTACCTTTTAATATATAATGAATTATCGCTAATACCGGTGATAATATATCCGCACCATATAACAAGTGTTCGTGTAGGGAATTTATTCTCATTAATAATTTCTTTTTTTTTTCATGAGATTCATGTGATAAAGGCTAAAGTGCGAATCTACTGTATGTTAAGAAGAACATTCTGCTCTCTTAAATTTCCAACTATCATCAACGAAACTATGCATATTCTGTGATTTTATGGTGTATAATAAAAGATAAAACTCTTAAAGATCTATTGTATATATCAAATAACCTGTCATATGTTTTAAAGATATGTATTATTATTTT